AAAATAAAAGTCGAACATAAAGTTTTTTTTGTATGGATTTTGTCTATATAAAAAAAACTTTATGTTCGACTTTTATTTTCACTTTTTCTCATTCACTACTTTTATTCTAAGCGGTTCAAATGTCGTACAAATGGTTTCATCATGAAAGTGTGAAAAATCTTTTCGGGTACTTCTGCTATTAAGTTAAAGAATAGAATATAAGTTGAAACATATTTTTTGGTCTCGAACTTTACGCCGCTTGAAAGACTTGAAAAATCGAACAAATATTATTTTGAACTTTCTTAATAAAATACGCAACTACCAGCGTGCGGAAAAGTTCGTCTTACTCCCGTAAGACTCTTTATTTTTTCTACACATACGTACGAACTGTGTGTGTGTGTGGGTCTCTTCTAATATGAATAAAGAAAGTGGATTTTTTGAATTATGATAAATTTTAGTAATTTAATTTTGTTCCATGTATGTTGCGAGCACTCTGCGTCGTTTATTGATTACATGATCAAATGAACATGTCTTGTTTTATTACTAATCATCATCATCGGCAATTGATTATAAACTTTACAAATTGATACAAAGCACACTATCACACCGTTATTTGCTTTGTGGCTTTTATGTAAAATAAGGCAAAAAGTTACTTAATCGCATTTAAGGGTGTTTGCATGTTGTGTGGCACAAATAAGTTTTATATATGTCTACATATGTCGATTAATTTCATACTCATTTCTCCAGAGTGCAATCTTTGCGCATTTTTATTTTATGAAAATGAATCAGACGATAAAATTTGAATTGAATGCAGCACATGTGGTTCCTTTGTTTTTAGTACATTTTTATTCTCCATATAAATTTATACAATATTTAAATGCCCATTCCAAAATTCACTTTGATGTTTAATTAATTGGGCAGTTTTTGTATTGCCGTATATGTTTCGCTTATTAACCGCCAGAAATGTTGAAAAAAAGCGAATCATTTGTGCATTTAAAAAAGCCGTTAACGCTTTATGATGAAGCAAAATCGTACAATTATCCATAATTATAAATAGTACCGCCAATTTGGTTTAACTGTCTACATTTTCGTAACATCGTTTTAAACGGTTTCTATTCGGCGCAGAGAGGAATTGTACAAATAAGGAATAAAACATTTAAAAGTGAAAAAAAAAATACGTTTCAAATTGCTTTAAAAGGATTCGGTTTTTTGGTGGGTAATTAAAATAATGATTCGACTCATTGTATGAAGAATAAAATGGTCAATTGCTAGTTGGAACATTACGAATCGAAGGAAATATAGGCGTTCAAGTATGACATTTTAACCATTTGGTTCACGTGTTCATTAAATTCTTCTTTTTTTGGGCGGGATCATTTCAAAAATACTTGTCTACGAAATTCCTTGAGCGTTAAATGCTTAATTATTCATTTGATGTCCAACAAATTTTCTAGAATAAAAGTGGGTTGACGCTCAAAAAATCAATTGTTTTAACTGGACATATGGCAAAATAGAGCAAACCACGATGAAATACTTAATTCAGAAGAAAGAGAGTATCGAATTGAAACCGGCAATTAAATGTCCCACGTGTAATCAAATGTAGAGATTCGTCGAAACTATAGCTCATTTTTTGTATGCTTGTCGCATACAATTAACACGATAAGCTAATTTACATGCATGGTGTCTAGTATCTATAAATTATAAAACATAATAATTTATATATGATAACAATATAACACACCGAAATTTTCTATGTAGGGAATTGTACTCGAAACACTGATATTAAATTTGTCAATAGTGTGTCTCATGCAACGTTTACATTTCTCATTGTCACTATGGTCGTGATAATACTGTTTTGTAAACGCTCTGATTACGATGAATTGTTGGTTGGTTTTGGCACATGCGCGCCATATTTTCAATCTATAGATTTTATAACTGTAGAACATTTTACCAGAAAGCATTTCCACAATTTATTGTTTACACAACCGAAACCTATATAAATAATGGGGTTACGCTGACATTTCGTGTTTATCACCTTTGAACGTGTTTAATTTATGAACCATCATATTTTGCACATCCTTTGACAATTGGCCAATGAATTTGCTTATAGCCATTTGTTCGAGACAAAAAATATATTTCAACGAAATAAACCAAAATATATGAATAAGTAAAAAAAAGCGGAATAAAATAAAAAAAATTTTTCATCAAAAAATATATGCATTTTATGTCATTTCAGATTGTTTTAAATTCAATGCATCGATATCAGCCACGAATACATTTGGTTCGATTGTCACCGGGTCGTAGTATACCAACATCACCAAAAGAACTACAAGAATTCGATCATAAAACATTTGTATTCCCAGAAACAGTATTTACGGCAGTGACTGCCTATCAAAATCAATTAATCACAAAGTTGAAAATCGATTCGAATCCGTTCGCCAAAGGTTTTCGGGATTCATCTCGGCTGACCGAATACGATAGGTGAGAGAATATGTAGAAATATTTTAGCAAATGTTTTAATACGTAGGCGACTATTTAAGTTTCTTCAATATGTATGTTTTAGTATTGCCCGATGCAAACCATTGTCATATTCGTTAAGTTTAACATTTTGTAGCATAAACGTTCTCAGAACGTTTTGTCATTCGATCTTTATTTGTATTGTTTACCGTAACATGTAAATTGCGTCTCAGCCAAAAAATGAATTTTACTCGTGAAAATTTTCGAGCGATTATTTTTTTCCACTTTCGATTGGGTGTATCACAACAACAGTGTTTTGATCAACTTCATTTGGCCTTTGGCGATGAAGTACCAAGTCTTCGGACAATTTATAATTGGTACAACGAATTCAAGCGCGGTCGCCTATCGCTCATCGACGAGTTCCGCGAAGGTCGTCCAAAATCAGTTGTTGTACCAGAAAACATCGATGCTGTCAGAAATATGATAATGGAAGATCGTCATGTAACATATCACGAGATTGAGGCATCCCTGGGCATTAGTGCGACCAGCGTATTTAAGATTTTACATGAACATTTAGCTGTCAGAAAGATTTGCTCTCGTTGGATACCACATAATTTGACAATCGCTCAAAAAAAGGCTCGTGTCGATTAGTGTAAACAAATGCTCAAGAAATTCAATCGTGGTGTTTCAAAATCCGTGTATTTTATCGTCATTCGTGACGAATCATGGATCTACGCGTATGAGCCCGAAACTAAACAGCAGTCGACTGTATGGGTCTTTCAAAGTGAAGATAACCCAACAAAAGTTGTTCGAGCTCGAAGTGTTGCGAAGCAAATGGTCGCCTGTTTTTTCGCGATAAGTGGTCATGTGGCAACAGTTCCACTAGAGGCTCGTAAGACCGTCAATTCTGATTGGTACACCACCATTTGTTTGCCCGAAGTGTTTGGTGAAATAAGAAAAAACAACCGCCGTCGCAAAATAATTCTTCATCATGATAATGCGAGCTCTCACACATCTCATCAAACAGTCGATTATTTGACCGGTCAAAAGATCGATTTAATGGGTCATCCGCCGTCCAGTCCTGATTTGGCACCCAACGATTTCTTTTTATTCCCGAGCGTGAAGAATAAACTGCGTGGTCAACGATTTTCATCGCTCGAAGAAGCAGTTGATGCGTTCAAAACACACGTTTTGGAGATATCACTTTCGGAGTGGCATGAATGCTATGACAAATGGTTCGAGCGAATGCAAAAGTGTATTGATCATCATGGCGAATATTTTGAAAAACAATAAAACCATTTTCGATGAAACCCCATTGTCTTATATATGTTTTTGAAAAAACTTAAATAGTGACCCTCGTATTAATATTAAATTTAATTATGAATTGGTGTCAAGTCTGGATTTTGGAATGAATGAAGCTGAAAATTGGATGTAAAAAATCATTTTAAAAATTTGTTGCATCAATTAACGAGCTCATCATCGACATTTTTTTTTTTATTCCAACATTAACATAACTCAACATATAACTTGTTGGCATTAATTCATCACATAATCTTTTGTCTTTTGCTTCAACAAAATTTCTCTTTGTGAACAAAGAAAACATGTAACATGTGCGAAACGGTTTTTTCCTCGTTCGCAATTTTTTTTTTAAATGCAGGCGCGACCTTAAATGATAATTGATGCAGTTTTATGTTTTTTAACGTGTTTTTTTACGAGAAAATCTCAAAGTTGATGATAATGATGAATGTATAATTGGCGGTAATGATAGCCGACCATATATGCGAAACCATCCATATGCATTAAATGTATGCGAGGTGTTAAAAAATTATCATCAATCTGCAGTCATTTTTGTGGCAGACTTCACGTGGAAAATCAATGCAGCGAAATGAGCTGTATACATTTTATTGAGTCAATCAGTGCCATAGTAATGACTTCTGACACTGTCAATGAAGAAATCGCGTGTCCTGTTACAAAATAATTTCCGATCATTTTCTCTAGGCAGGTTGTCTTTAATCGATCTATTCAGGAATAGTAGTAATATTTACTTAATGATAATTTTCCGTGAATTAAAATCAAGTGTCAATTTGACGGAGGTCGACTGTGATTATTGTTGAGATTGTTGATGAAGTGAAATCGGATGATGTATAAAAAGAAGCGAACACAAAACGAAAAAAAAACAAAACAAAATCTTTGCATTCAGTACTTAAACTTAATATTTCCATAGTTTTACATGAATTCGCTACTTATTTTTTCGTTTGATAACCTCTGAGCAGTTGCTGCCGGTATTATTCTCAATGGCAACAACGTTAATCGTTTGCATCGTCGATGTGTGTGCGCTGCATGTATATTTTCATGGCACTTCATTCATCTGAACACGTTTCGCATGTTTAATGCGAATATGATGGTGGTGCGAAAAACACAACCGATGATAAACCAAATGATGATATGTTTAATAATAACCTGATGAAGAAGGTATTAATTCAAAATATCGATGTCGACCTGCACATAGCGCAAACGATCTCGAGAGAAAGAAAAAAAAACAAACCCATGCACATATGGAATGAAATTAAGAAGAAGTGTTTGGCATTTTTAATGAAAAATATCGTTGTAAAAATTGATGTTAAGACACTGGACAATGGTTTGTGATACGAGCATATATACCGTGTCGGTGTATGTGTATTTGAGTGCGTGAAAATGAATTTGAATGTATTGCGCCCATGGCTTATATCATCGGTTTCACAAATTACAAGGCGGCTTTTCTTTGATGCTGTACCAAAGTATTCCAGAAGGTTCAACACCAAACACTCCGAAAAAAGAGTTTATCCATTACATTTACTCTATCGGGTCAGCCACGTAGCATATAGAGTTATATGCTGCACAGAAGAAGTAAAAAAATGCAAAGCAAAAATCGCGTACCATCGGACGTTGGCCAATTTTCTTTCTCTGCTCATGTAGTCTTTTTTTATTCCTGAGCGCAGTATATCTCTGCATGCACATTAATATTTTCAATAACTTCGTTTCGCTCTTTTTTTCATCATTTACGCTTCGTTTTTGTTGCTTTCAGCACAGAGAGCAGCCGATTTGTGTGAAATACTATTGCAGCAAGTGATTCAATTTTGTTTATCGCTCTCCTTTGAATGCGTTTACGATGCTCTCTCAATCAATCTACACGATCCCAAAATTCTATCTCCACGTTGTCTGCCGTGTTTGTGCTAATTTTTTTTCCTTCCTTCTTTTTGTTACCTTTTTGCACTGGCAAAAATTGTTATACAGCGCACGTAAATCGCGTTCAGATGTTCAACACCATAATGAAAGTCATTAGAGCTGTTTTGATGTTTATCGAGAGCCTGGTTGTCTACCTGTTCAACAATCGGTACATACAACACACATACACAAAATATACCGCATGTATGTAAATTGGGAAGGAAGGTTGTGAGATGCTCGTATTAATATAGGATATTACGGCATCAAAATGAATTGTTTTTTTTTTGTATTCCGTTCACTTTTTTCTTCACCTTTATTTTCGGAAAGTATTTCGTTTCGATGGACTTTTCGCATGATGATGATGATGATGATGATGAGAGATAGACAGAGAGTGAACCTCAACGCATTTTGTACTTGCGCTGTCTAGAAGCGTTAAAAACCTAAACTGTTCATCAGCAAAAGATCAAAGCATCAATGCACTCACAAAAACATCGACCATAAATACGAATGATAGAGAGAGAGAGAGAGAGAGAGAGAGAGAGAGAGAGAAATGAAAGGAGATGAAGAGTCCGAATCACCAATTTCAAAACGAAGATGAAAAGGCGGCAAACTTGAAGATATCATCAACTGTGTACAATGTAAAATTAGGTGTTAATTGAGCATCAGTATAATTAGTGAAATTTATAGGTTCGAATTCGGCATCACATGCATATATGCATGCCTTTATTATAATCACTATTATCCAGGTATTTCATTCTTTTCACATTCGTCGGTTCTTCAAAATGAGAGGAGTGAAAGAAAAGGATTTTTGTGACTGTTTCTCGACAGGATTATTGTGCTCTCCATACATTCAATGGGGTTTCTTGTGAGAAAAAAAACCATGCCAAAGCCCTTTTTCATCACTTTTGATTTTTTTCGATTTTGTTTTTATCATGATTCGCATTTTTAAGTTCATTTTATCTCTCTAACGACATCAATTCCCATCAAATATCGATCATGTGAATCGATCGTTTTATCCACAGCATTTATTTATTTATTATGCTTAAGGCGTACCATCAACAAAATATTTTGTTTCGACCTTAACCGAATATTTTATAAAATAATTAAATAAAATTGCTTATTTTCAATTATTTTCAGAGATCCAATGGATCCATTGCTGCTTGAACAACATTTACGAGCACCATTGCGTTTCTTTCCCGATTCAATGTTGGCACAATTTGCTGCACAAGAATCCGAATCAGCATCAGCTGTTTTGTTGGAAAAAGCACGACAACACTTGCAAATGATGGGCCGTGCACCTTATCCCGAACTACTTTTGCCACAAATGTACCAACGCCCAAATTTTCCGCCATTTGGAAATTTGGGTTTGTGGCAAAGTCAACTGCCGCCGCAACTATCTGCCGGTTTTTTGTCGGCGGCCGCTTTTGCTATGGGCAATCGGGCACAAATTTTACCAACAACATCAACTGCAACTCAATCTATGCAAATGCAAATGCCCGTGACACAAGCTACATCTATTTTAATACCACAAAGTTCCTCATCATCATCAGATTCATCGTCACCTGATTTGCGTGTTAAAAATTTTGCACGTTTCAGCCCATATCCGCTATCAAATCATCATCAATTGAGAGGACAACAATCATCGCCACCAACACGAAATTCACCACATTAGTTCGGTATTATCATATCACAAACACTTTGTACAAACATTTGTGTACTTCAAGTTATTATTTATTAGGAAGAAAAAAAGAGAGACTATTTTAATCTGTGCATTTTGGCTAGTATAACATTTCTGTATTGTGAAATCGGTGTTTAATTCGATAAATTTTTTGTTTTGTGTTAGAAATAGGATTTTCTTTCCACAGGAAATTGGTTTTCAATGATAGAAATTAAAATAATATTTTAATTATAGATCATGTCTTGAGTGTTCCTTTTATTCACAAGAAAAAATTTCATAAATATGCAGGAAGTTTGCTTCAATACGATTAATTTAAGCGCAAGCGTTCTTCATCGGTAACAATTTCATGCTCTGGTTCTGCACGATTCTCTTCTTTTTTAGTTAAAAAAATATCCAATCGATGAATTCATTATCGAATAATTCGAACGAAAGGAGGTAGAAAAATAAATGAATATATACATACTATATATAGATTCAATTTGATACACAATGCAAAATGACTACAACAAAAACTAGTAAAACACAATTCAACATGTATATGGTAGCTGGTAAGTCACTAATAATAGATCTGTACAAAATGAATAGTAAATGACGGGAGAATTCACTCAAAAACAATATGAAATGCTTACAATGTTTGTGCATAGAACAATTAAGATAAAAATAAATGAATAAATCAAGTAAAAAATAAATAAATCTTATTGTTGCGTGTTTCAATCATATTTCAGCCATTGCTTTCAATCGTAATATTCTGTTTCAAAGTTGCATTTCGGTGAATATCTTATGATATTTGCACGAAGCTTTATGAAGAGACGGAGAGCGAGAAAGAGAGAATGTAGAAAGCTTTCAATTATTTTCGAATAAACACATTTACACCGAATGAATTATACATGCATTGCGAGAAATAATTGATTTGGACGAATGAAAACTATACTTGTTTTAGCTCTTTTCGAACTGAATATCTTATATCATAAATCATAAATCGTGATGGATAAATATTAAATTGCAGCTGAATTACTAAAATCAATTTGAATATTTGTTCGATTCAACGCCAGAATAATAAATTAATCGAAAGTTTCTATCGAAAAAAACACGACTGACGTTGTTTTTAGGTTTGTTTGGAAATGATTTCATGGGCATTTAATGAACCACCACCCATTTATACGAAAGTAGAGTCTTTTTTTGAAAACTTTGCTCTAAATTACTAACACAATCCATCAATTTATTCAAACTTGAAAAGAAGACAGTTATAGTAAATAATCGGTAAGCAAATGCCAACTGAATGATATGACCGCCCCTTTCACTTGATGGGAAAATTTAGAAATCATTGTTCTTCCTTGAAAGTACATACGTCTAAACAAAATTTGTCAACAAAGAATAAGTTAATTTAAGACGAGCTCTTCCATTGTTTGAATATGCTAGCACAGCTGTGGTAAAAACCGCAAAAAAGCATTGAGCCGTGCTCATTTCGAACCGAAGAATGTATAAGAAATAAAGCGGATATTTCCTCATTCTTTCTTTTTGTGTATTCTTGATGCCGTGCACGATATGACCATTGTTGATTCTGTGCAGAAATTAAGAAGAAACTCACAAAGAACATAATGGATTCCATGCGCACACAGAGTAACACGCACAGCGAAAAAAAAACATCAATTACATTGGTCACTCAATGAGAAATGAGTATATAATAATTGTATGAGAGGTGTACGGTGTATGATTCGAATTGAGATTGTCATGTGCGTAGTCATTTGTCAAAAGCGCTATCACATTACTGTTTGTTTGTTGGTTTTGTTTTTCAATTGAAATCAAAACAACGATCTATGGCCATTTGCTTGTGGTTTTCACCAAAACTACGATTAAAAATAATTAACGAACCAAACGCACAATCCGAAAAATTTGAAAATTAAGCCAACACAATTGAACGTTTCGAGAGTAAGGTTGTGAGAAAGAGAAGGAGAGTAATAAGAAGGTGGAGTAATAAACATTGACCCAATCGAAATAACAATCGGAAGTTTTCTCGTTATTTTCAAAGCGTCACCAATCTATCATTCGAATGAACAAAATAATGATATATCAAAAAAATTATCCTATTTTCTCAGTTTGTTTTTGGTTATCGTGTTACCGCAATCGTTGAGTGTTTTTCTTTTGTTGTTTCTATTCGGTCTCTCTCACTATCTTTATCTCTCGCTCTACTCACTAATTCCAATCTAATGATGATTAGAAAAATACGCGCGCACTTTGGTGTGACTTTTTTGGCAGTGTATCACCATTTGCATTGTGAACAAAAACTGTCAATAACACCAAATGGAGGTTGGTATCCGCATTCAGATGTAATAGGCCATTTTGGAAAATAACAAACTTACACATTATTTCGGCATGAAAAAAAAAACAAAACACGTGAATTGACATGAATTAATGTATGATTAGGAAAATGAGAGCAAGCCAAACAAAAAAAAAAGAAAGCCAAAAAACAAAATGAAAAAAAATCGGACTCAAGGGAAATCGTAACAGCCTGCTTAGATAGAGATCAATGTCAATAATTTGTGACTCGAGTCGATTATTGTGGTTGGTGAATAAAATGAACGTGCGCGCCATTCACACAGCTAATATTTTGGTTGAATTAAGCGATGTTTAATTGTCAAAACAACATTCAGAAAATGAAAAAGAAAAAATAACGGCCAAACAAAAACAAAAGAAGAAAAACACACAAAACGATTTGCTATTTAATTTTTTGGAATTTGTTTTTACACACCCAAAATACAAAAATGTTCCATCGAAATGGTAGCCCTAATGATCCACTCTATCTCACCGAATAGATCGTGAAGAGGTTTTCCGAATGGCTTGGCCCGTAATTATTTTGAACGGTGTGCGTATGTGCGTATATATATGGGTATTCCGATACCGATCACGTTCTAATTCTATAATCTTTTACGGAAAATCACATTGTTCAGTGTTGCGCGACTCAGCAAACATTTGTGATATAGATCGCTGCTGAATGCGTTCAATTTTTAATAATAATAAACCACACATCTTTATATATGTGTACATTGTACATGTGTATAATTGTCAGCGTTTCGATAACCATGTCCTCATTGCGATTACCGTAATAGCATTATTTATGGCAAATACCCAGAGAAAATGACGACGCCGAGGCAAGATAACACCATCGAAATTAATTTAAACGATGTGTTCATTTTTCCATAATTTGCTAGTTCAATTCCGTTTTTTATATTTCTTTTTTGTTTCGTTTTGTTTCTCTCGGAGCGTTTGAGGTCGACGATAGCGCAATTTTCATTGTTTAATTTTTCATTTCATTCATAGATATGTATATATGTGCGACGAATATTGCGACCAAGAACAACAGAGAGAAAGAGAGAGAAACGTTTGTAAACGGAATTTTATATCTAGTGAAAAAATTCAGAGGTAGTATTGGTAATAGTATTTTTGTGCGAACCTTCGAACAACAATTTTACCTCTATCAAACTAAGCGGCTACATCATTACCATTAGAAAATTGATAAATATTCAACATTTTCTCTGCATTTCAGCATTTCAATTCAAAATTATAGTCGCATTTTTTCGCCAATTCCCTCTTTCACACAGCATTATTATATTGAGCGCTTGATTGTTGAATTATTGCATTTTAAATTTGATTCAATTTTCGTTCTTTTCTTTCTATTTTCAATTGATAACCAGGAAAATGATTTTCCACCTCTTTATCGCAGAAAATTACCGACTCAAATACACACTGTTGTTGTTTTTATTACAAATTCATGCAAATATTCTCCAAAGTTCGCAGCAAAATACATGAAATCAATCCGTTTGTATATCGATTCAATTTGAAGGTTTCCGTCCACATTTTTGGCCCATATAAAACAATTACATGCTTGTGCTTCTATAAATAGTTTTCGATTTTCTTTTCCCTATTTTCGAACCATTGACGAAAGTGGCTACTGATTTTTTTTTAATTTTTCGTATTTTGAATTCAATAAACTGACTCAGACGCACATAATAATACACATATGTAGTGTCCGGTTGCTTGCGGTACATAATTTTCCAATTTTTCTGATTTGTTTTTTTTTTATTATTGAAAAGTGGCCCACGAGATACTCATTGTAGAATATTGCACGCGCCAATAAGAAAATCACATATTGACGTCGCTTAACAATTAATGAATATTTCAGTCTTTGAGCTCGGCGTTTCGGTTTTGCCTCTGTTCAATGCGATAAAAACGACTTCGGCAAAATGGGTTTTGCGTGTATGCTTGTGGAGATTGCACGGCAAATGGAAAAACATGGCGAATAAATAATATGCGAATGAGTCTTATTGAAGAGTTGAAAATGGGCTGTAATTGATGGGTTGTGCATGTGTGTTTTAAAATCAATTCACCTGCATGCATGCGCGCGGCATGGGAAGTCTCGAATTGAAAATTCACTATTCAATTGAATCAAACACTCGCTCTCTATCGCACGCTCTCTTGATACAGAGAATAACGCCATTTAACGGATATACCATGTATTCCAAGTCCGCGAACTCTTCAAGAGTCCATTTGAATAAAAAAAAAATATAGCAACAACAACAACAATTTGATTTACGTTTCACTGGTGTTTCTGAAAACGGTTTTTGTCGGTTTGCAAAGTGTTTTTGGAATAAATTTTTAATAAATCATAATATTTCGCCGTAATTTCAATCCACACGCCAAACTCACGAGAATTTCAAACGATTTAATGGCTACAAACAGACATTACAAACCATATTAACCGGAATAGATTAGGATAAAATCATTAGCCACTTTACATGCTGTATTGTGAAACGAGCAAATGAACGCGTGAAAGGTTCACATTTGCTATGGATGCGTTCGATATAATAAATTGATCCTTTGGACATGATGCAAATACATCTGATTTATGTAAAAAAAAATGTTTCAAAGCCTTAATTGATTCTTGTACAACACAATTCACTATCAAGATTCCGTTACTTCTTTCTATCACGCACGTACATTCAATACTCGATGCGATTGCTGTGTAAACAAATATTCATTGGTATTCAATTTTCAGATAACAAATTGATTTATTACGATGAACAGTGAGTCCCAAATGGTTTCTTCAAAATTTCAAACGGATTTGCTTTTAATATGAAATTGTAAATCAATTTTCAGCGCACAGAGTGTTTATGAATTTTAATTGAAGCCCTCACGTCTTAATGAGGCCAGCACACTATAA